TTTGATAATCATCTTTTCGTGTATGACATTACATGAAATATAAATTAAAAAAAAAAAGTATCAATAGGTAAAGATAATATTATATAAATAAACTTTTGGGCACAAAAGTTTTAAATTTAGCCAGAGATTTCTTGGATTTGGTGAGACATTAAAATATACGTTCAACATGCATCCATAGATACCTAATTTTCATAAACTAATCTTTTTAAAATGAATATATTAAATAGTTACATATATTATAAAGAAAAATAATTGAATTTTTGAGAAAAAAAATTAGTGTTATTAATGTATTGATAAAATTATAGTGATCGATTTAAGTTTTAATGATTCTATTATACTTACGAACAACGTGAGTATTAAGTAATAATTAAATTCACTTAATTAAAATAATTATAATAAGTTAAATCTAATTTTTTTTAATTAAAATAAAAATATATACACTTTGATATTATTCACCGTTGGATTCATGATATTAAAACATATTTTATTTTATTTAAGTAACAAATACTTCATTTTTTTTTACACTCTAAGTAAATTTTAATTATTGTTCAAATATAATAAGTTGTTAATTTTTATATAAATAGAATATAAAGCATACCAATAATATTTATAAAATCTCTTAATTTATTTCTACCCATTAATTTTTACAGTAATTTTTTAAATATAAATACAAAAAAAAATAATCGCCACCAAAATTATAGATACATATATATATATATATTTTATTTTCTGAATTAAGATAAGAGACTTTCTAGTTGCATCTCTTATCTTCTATCTTCTTCATTAGTTTCAGTGTATCACTTAAAAATAAACAAAGGGCTGATTAAAAAAATGGAAAAGCAAATCTACTGAAATCCAAAGCCAACTTTGCACGGTTCGGAATTAAACAATACTTTTTTTTTTTTTTTAAAGTTTGATAATGCATGAAGATGCTAAAAATTAAGTGGCTCCCTTTTCTAAAACTTTTAAATTAATAAAAAATTAAATATAATATATTTATATTGTATCAATAAAACCAGACAAGGGAGGGAGCAAGAGAGGAAAGATCGAGAGAGTGCTAGTCTAAAATAAAGTTCATTACCAATTTGTTCTGTGCACGTAATAAATAAATATATATGTATATATATGTGTGTGCATTTTTTAATTATTTATATTCTCCCCAAAATAATTAGTTTATAATGCATATATATATGTATATGTATATGTTCTGTAATACGTTAATGGAGTTAATAGCTTTTTATGGGGTTTTTTTTTTTTTTTTTTGATAAGCGAGATTGATGGGTTAAATTCGTAGTTTTGATCAATTTAATTTGTTTACGCTATCAAAAAATGTTGATTAATATTTGAAAATAAAACAATAAAACCTTCGAATTACTGAGTGTGGATTTGGATCCGGCTGCTTAATTTCATGTGTTTTTTGAAGTTTGATTGAATTGTAAAACAAAATAATATTTGAAAATGAAAACAATAAAACCTTCGAATTACTGAGTGTGGATTTGGATCCGGCTGCTTATGTTTTTTGAAGTTTGATTGAACTGTAAAACAAAATAATATTTGAAAATGAAAACAATAAAACCTTCGATTACGAGTGTGAATTTGGATCCGGCTGCTTAATTTCATGTGTTTTTTTGAAGTTTGATTGAATTGTAAAACAAAAGATGCTTGTTTTGATCTTTTTGCCTCCAAAATCTTTCTGACAACAGAGTAAGAACTTGAACACGAAGATCATCCATACAGATCTTCCCATTCAATCCAGCGCTGCTCTGTGGATAAACATCAAAGCAAAAGACAAATTTCTCTGACAATCTTAAACTTATTTCTCTGAATTACAAATCCCCTCCCCCTCACTTCCCCACCAATCCTTTACAATAACGCCTTTTTAACACACATACATACATACATTGATACATACATACATATGTATATGGCGAACGTGGGATTCTCACTTTGCAAAATTGGTTACCACTCTGTGCTTTGTTTCTTCGTGGTGAATTTTTTTTGTTCTTGTTTTTGTATTTTTTTCAGGCTACTACAAGTGTCCCAGTCCGTACAGCTTTGCTGGGAGAAGAGTTGTTGGAATCTGATGATTTCCTCACCGATCTCGACGCCATCCTCCACTTCTTCTCGTTCGCTTCATCTAGTTCTATCTGTTCTTGCCTGCACTCCTTGCTGCAAAACGGTGTGTTCCCTCTGCAACACCAAAATTATCCATTGCGTCAATCTTAATCTTCCGTCCAGCCAAACAATGAATAAATAAATAAATCAATCAATCAAACACTAAATCAACGACGACGACGACGACGTACTCGAGATCTACATATTTAGGTATATCCGTTTTCCTTCTCCACGAATCCGCAATCGCAGAGAAGGAAGAAGATAACTAAAAATGGATTTAAGATATCCAGATCAAAAAATAAAGAAGAAAAAAAAGAAAAAGAAAAAGAAAAAGAAAAAGAAAATAAACGAAAACAAGATTTCAAATAGAGGAATCTGCAACTAACCTGTACATGAAGATATCGGAGTTATAACCAAGCGGTTTGCTGCAAAGAGAGCAAGCATCCAGGAAGTGAGGCTGAGGCTCTCTTTGATCTACGCCTCCGGCGTAATAGAAAGCCATGGGAGAGCGTTGCTTGTAAAAAAGGAAGAAGAAGAAGAAGAAGAAGAAATTCGAAGAGAAACTACGAGCAGGAAATGAAATCTGCCGAAGACGCTCGAACGCAGTAAATCTGCAAGTAGAAGAAACCGAGAAGGGGAGGAGAAAAGGGCTTAGTGGTTGGTGTTATATAAAGTTAGAGCAAGTTGAAAGGCATTAAGAGAGTGGTTGACCTGAAGTAATCAGGTACTTCTGTAACCATCGTAAGCTTCCCTCATCTCCCCTAATCTACACCGTCAAAATTCAGATCTTGAAATCTCGATGGCTTGTTGGTGCTTCAATCAAAATCTACAGTGCATCAAGTACCATTAAAAATAACTTGTTGGTGGTGGGGCCCACAAGGTTTTAATACTGATGGCGATCTTCCCGAATACATCCATCGGGCTGGTTTAAGTGCATGCATCATGAATATTTTTTTAAAGCAAACTTAAGAAACGCAATAATTGCAGAATGAACCTTCTTTCTACAATCAGTCCCCCTTGTGTTGGGTATTTATGATACATCCTTGGATTTTAATATTCTTTAATTATTAATTAATTTCTTATTTTGAGTATTTAATTTTAATCTAATTAAAAAAATTTTAACTTTTTTTATTAAAAAATATGTAAAATTTAATTAATTTAAAATTTGTAAGGGAATTTTGAATTTATTTATTTTGATGATCAAATTAAATATGTCTAAGACATATCTTAATTAATAAATTTAAAGAGTATTTTTAAAATAAAAAATTTAATATATTGTACTAATTAAATAGTATGAATATTAATAATAATATAATTTCTTAATATATACAAACCAAATATACAATTGACAACATAAATTCAAATTTTCGTAAAAAATTAAAATATTAACAATTTAATCAAATTATAAGATAAAATTTGCCTCAATTTCAATTTTTTTTACCAAAATACTATTTATCAAAATAAAGCTTTACATCCTATAAATTACTATTTGTTAATTTTTTTACTAAAATATATTTTATTATAGGAAAATTAAGTTTTTTAAGTAATTGATATTGCAATAAAAAAAAATGGGGTTCACGCATAATGGAGACATCCCTATAGACTCTCATGGATACTAGTAGACTGATAAAATATAAAATTATTATTCAAACTGATTGCATATGAAATTATGATATGTGTTATGTTATTAACTCTATAGGTTATTTTTGTAAATATCGTTACATTAAGTAGGCGGTAAATGATTTTATTTACGATAAATAAATTTACTTAAATTAAGAGCTCAATTAGTTATTTTTTTTTTATGATTTATACTAACCTTCATTTATGTGTCGGTGAGTAGCGTGATATTATTACTGCGCTAGTGTAGTTCACTCTTTCATTAACCATTTCAAATCAAGAGGATCAGGATTCAGAGCCCGATCCACAAGAGAATTGCGAGTATGACATTCAGTTTGTTTACTTTTAATTTATTTATTTGGTTATTAGTTGTTATTTTACAAAAAGTATTCACGTAAGCTCTATTGGATACTTTTAGTTATTGTGTAAGAAATGTAAATTATAACTATTTATTTCGCATTCACACTAAATTTATAATTTATCACATTTAAAGTTTCAGAAGTCGTTACAAATTTGCATCAAATTTTCTTTTTTTTTTTATAACCAAAATACTATTAACCAAAATAAAGCTTTACATCCTATAAATTACCATTTGTTAATTTTTTTTACTAAAATATATTTTATTGTAGGAAAAGTAAATTTTTTAAGTAATTGATATTGTAATAAAAAAATAGGATTCACACATAATGAGGACATCCCTATAGACCCCAATGGATACTAATAGACTGATAAAATATAAAATTATTATTCAAACTGATTGCATATGAAATTATGTTATGTGTTATGTTATTGACTCTATAAGTTATTTTTGTAAATCTCGTTACAGTAAGTAGGTGGTAAATGATTTTATTTATGATAAACAAATTTACTTAAATTAAGAGCTCAATTAGTTATTTTTTTTATATAATTTATACCAACCTTCATTTATGTGTCGGTAAATAACGTGATATTATTAATGCACTGGTATAGTTCACTATTTTATTAACCATTTTAAATCAAGATGATCATTATCTATAACCCGATCCACAAGAGAATTGCGAGTAGAACGTTCGATTTGTTTATTTTTAATTTATTTATTTGGTTATTAGTTGTTTTTTTACAAAAATTATTCACATAAGCTCTATTTGGTACTTTCAGTTATTGTGTAAGCAATGTAAATTATAATTATTTATTTCGCTTTCGCACTAAATTTATAATTTATCACATTTAGAGTTTCAAGAGTCGTTACAAATTTACTCAAAATTCCCTTAAACAAAATACTATTTATCAAAATAAAGCTTTATATCTTATAAATCACCATTTGTTAATTTTTTTATTAAAATAAATTTTATTGTAAGAAAAATAAGTTTTTTAAATAATTGATATTGTAATAAAATTTTTTTTGTTGTTATTTTTATTAAGTAACCCTTAAAAAATGGAAATAAATATTTAATTTGAATTTACATATTATAGTGGAAAAGAAAATCTAAATTGAACTTTGAGTGTTAGATGTTGTATTAGGCTATATTTAGAAAGATAATTATTTAAAAATTTACATTTAGTTTTTTTAATTATAAATCATATTAAAATAATAAAAATTAATTTATCAATTAATATTAAATGAAACTAAACATATATATATAATAATTAATTACATTAAACTAAGTACAAATTTATAAGCTAATAAAATTTATTATAATAATGTAAAATTTATTTGTTACAAATATTATCCAAAAACATGAATATATGAAAATCTAAGGGCGAGATAGCAAATATGAAAATAAGAAGGGGGCGGGGGGAAATAACGAAAATATGAAAAGGATGCCTTGTTTAGTATGCATGAGGTAATGGGGAATACCATGGGCATAATGATTGGATTAGGAAATTGTTAGAAAAACAAATTGTTAGGGGCACTCACAATGATCACGTCACGTAACATCAGTACGCTGTCGTTTTGCCCATCTCTATTAGGCTTTTTGATTATTTTATTATTATTCGTGGGCGCTTCGTGAGTTTTCCGTCGGGTCAGGACCACTTTTGGTCGCCTTCGCATTAGCCATACCAAGTAGGAGCTGAGTATGTGTGGGCCCCACCACCCCCCGAAAATAAACAACGAACTCCGAGCTGACTGGGCGCGGGACCCACCAGTCCCCACATAACAAAACAATTACCATTCAAGTAGTGGGACCCATCTGACGAATCATCTCGCTGGCTCAGCTCCCTAGGTCCTTGTCCGGTGGGTCCACAGAAACTGCCCGTTTACCCCGGTTCGCCTTTTCCCCAAATGTTTCCGCTTAGCTGCCCGGGACACGTGCGTCCTATTCGGGTGACCAGCGAGTTACCACTTTATTCGCTGCACGTGCTACGTGGCACGTAAACAAGATCGTATTTTGTTTGTTTTGTTACGTGTTGCCAGAGCCGTCGAGATCGGGTTGAGTCAGTCGCATCGACGGTAGAGAAGGCGCCACTGGGGAACCTCAATTATTGGAAGAGTTCCACGTGGAATGTGGTGTATGGAAAGTGAGTGGCAGAGGGGATCCTACCTCATGTGAGCTTGAATACACATGGTAATAATCGAACTCAAGTTTATTATTAATTTAATAAATTATTATTATTGTGCCAAGTTCCTTTTAGTTATTTTTAAAAAAATTTAATTATATTTATTTAAATTATAATATAATATTTGCATATACAACAAATAATATTATATGCGAAACAAAACCAATATTCGTAATTTATGTTTATTTTGATTAAAAAACTATGTTTTATCGGTAGATAAAAATTATGTAAAATCAAAACAATATTTTTTAAATTATAAAAATATTTAGTAATGTATTTACGCTTTTTAAATTTAACATATGAAAATCACGATAAAATAAACTTATATAATACACGTATAAAATATGTAACATTTTTTTGTTGGTTTAATTTTTCTTCGTATCACCGTATAAATGGTGTGTTACGAGGATGTAAATAATTTAATTATTAATAAAAATACTTATATATATATATATATATAACTCAACAAAGTAAATATCACAACAAGATATTTTCATTCATTACATGTTTTCAATCTAGTACTAATTAAGCTACAAAACTAACATGTAAATATACGTGTTCATATCTTGTTTTGTCATCATTGACTATTTTACTAAATCAAAGCATTTCATTATTACGCTCACCATTGGTACATTTTAAAGTAGATGAATACCGTATAGTGTGTAGAACGAAGCTACTTCATTGGTTTTTTATAAGTGTTTTTATTTATAAATTATTTATATTATATTATGATTGTTATATGTATATTATTTAATTAATAAATATGTGTATTTTTAATTAAAAATAAATAGATCAATAATAACATTTATATATATATTTAAATTTTTTAAGTAAAATATTTCATATATTTTATTAATTATATAGTATATATATTTTAATAATACATTTTTTAATAATAATACGTAGAGTATATAATTTAAAATTTGAATAAATACTCTTGTTAAAAAATATAAAAGAAAAAACTAAAAAATAATATATTTTTAATCAATTTTTTAAATAGTTAAAAGTACTTATAATTTATTAATAATGTAATAATTTAATAATTAAAATATTTAAATTATATTTAAAAATTATAAATTTAAATTTTATTAAATATAAAGAACTTATTACTTTATAAATATATTAATGAGATAGTCACTATAGTTAATTTAATTAAATCGATAATTTATTTTATTAATATATTTAAATGAAAATTAAATTGTAGTGACGTTGGATGCTGCCGTCATGCTTACGACAAAATTATTAACGTCACTTTTTTTTATCTCCCACGTTCTTCCGACTTCCCGCAACCAAATGACTTGTATCTTTTTAATTTTCAATTATTCGATAATTTTTTTGAATCGAAATTTTAATTCAAAATTTACGCTCGAAATTATTAAAATTATATGGTAAAATATATGTTCTTAATTTTATTTTAATATATAAAAGACAGAAAAGAAGGAAAAAGTAGAAGCCCAGACTCGGCCCAAAGGAAGAACAATTAAAAGAAGAAGAAGAGAAAAGAAAAGCCAGCGATCAAGCCCGAGCAAAAGAAAAATGTAAAAAAAAAAAGAAAAAGAAAAAGAGCCCAGCTTAGTCTAGCATTGTGCAAGCCCGGGCACAAAATACGTCGTCGTTTTAATTTGGACTCCTTGACATAAAAAAGGCAAGAAACGACGTCGCCCAGTTTATTAATGTAAACGACGTCATTTCAGCAGGCGTAAAACCAAAAGCCTTAGTTTTCAAAAATACCGGAGAAGAAAGGATAAGAAGATTAGTATGGGTCGGGTCAATTCAGTTCTCTACATGGTTATTTATAATTTTAACACTCTGTTTAGATCGTAACAAATGATAAAATTTTAACGTATGATATTTTACGAGTATGAGAAAATCATATTTGTTTCAATTTCTAATGACAACAAACGGTATCTGACTGATAAATTTGAGATGAATTTTAAAACTACAAAATCGATGTTATGTGAATGATGCGTTATTTTTTTTTCCTTATATCCCTATATAATATACTTAATTCTATTTTTATTTTCATAATTTATTATTTATTTTATTAAATATAAAATTTTAATTTATAATAATTATTTATTTAAATACAAATATAATTATATTGGTAAATAATTTTTTTTATTATATGATTCTTATATACTACTTACTATTAAATAAATAATTAGGGATAAATTAATAATTTGACTGTAAATACAATCATACCATATTATTATTCAAATAAAAATATATCATTAACATATATTAATATACAATCATCTACACATAAAAAAATTTTATTATCTCAATTATATATCATTGTCATTTAATTACTATAATTAACGTGCATTAAAATTTATCTAATATTAAAGGCGGAATAATAGTTTGAATGAGTTTAGATCTGTGACCGGTCCAAAGTTTTTGACAAACAGACCGGTTTTCTTTAATAAATAAAAACAGGCCGGTCCGAAGTTGTCTATATGAGTGGCTCTGTTCTTGAAAGAAATCCATCAACGTATAACAATTTTCTTGCTCTCATCCCTGCCGTGCTTCCTCTTCTTGCCACGTGAAACTTCCTTTGTCTAGATTTTATTCTCAGAGCAAGAAGAAGACAGAGTGGAATTCTCGGGAAGGATAGAAAAGAAAAGAGGAGATATGGTGAGAACAGGAAGAACGACAAAGACGAGAGGCAAGATCGATGGTGCATTTCTTCATCATGATTTACGCAATCTTGCGCACAGGTTTGTATTTCTTTTGTTGATTATTACTAATGTTTTACGAATTTCCGTTCTGGTTTTAATTTGGTCCAGTATCAATCACGTATGATTTTGATTTTCTTTTTGGCGCCAAACATGATCGCATTTTTGGCAAGCACTGGATTCTTGCTTTAATTATTGGGAAGGGAAAAAAAAAAAACAAAAAGAGTAGATAAGGAGAGAGAAGGAAGAACGACAAAGATGAGAGGCGAGATTGGTGGTGCATTTCTTCAACATGATTTACGAATCTTGCGCACAGGTTTGAATTTCTTTCGTTGATTATTACTAATGTTTTACGAATTTCAGTTCTGGTTTTAATTTGATCCAATATTAATTACGTATGATTTTGATTTTCTTTTTGCAAGCAAACATGATTCCACGTTTGACAAGTACTGAATTCTCGGGAAGGAAAGAAAAGAAAAGAGAAGATACGGAGAGAGCAGGACGGACGACAACGATGAGAGGCGAGATCGATGGTGCATTTTTTCAACATGATTTATACAATCTTCCGCACAGGTTTATCTTTCTTTTATTGCTTTCATCCTGTCGTCCTTCCTCCTCTCTCCACGTGAAACTTCCTTTTTCCAAATTTTATTTCCAGAAGAAGAAGGAAACATTGAATTCTCCGGAAGGAAAGAAAACAAAAGAGGAGATACGGAGAGAGCAGGACGGACGATAAAGATGAGAAGCAAGATTGATAGTGCATTTCTTCAACATGATTTACGCAATCTTGCGCACAGGTTTTTCTTTCTTTTGTTGATTATTACTAATCTTTTACGAATTTCAGTTCTGGTTTTAATTTGGTCCAATATCAATTAGGTATGACTTTGATTTTCTTTTTTGCAAACATGATCTCACTCTTGGCGAGCACTGAATTCTCGCGAGCACTGAATTGTCGAGAAGGAAAGAAAAGAAAAGAGGAGATGAGCAGGACGGACGACAAAGACGATATGCAAGATTGGTGGTGCATTTCTTCAACATGATTTACGCGATCTTGCGCACAGGTTTGTCTTTCTTCTGTTGATTATTACTAATCTTTTACGAATTTCTCAGTTCTGGTTTTACTTTGACCGTATGATTTTGAGTTTCTTTTGGAGCCAATATGATCGCATTTTTACGAGCACTGAATTCTTGCAAGAACTTAATTCTCGGGAAGGAAAGAAGTTAGGAGTGAGCGGGACGGATAACAAAGATGAGAGGCGAGATCCGTGATGCATTTCTTCAACATGGGTTTATACAGTCTCGCGCAAAGGTTTATCTTTCTTTTGTTGGTTGGTACTAGTATCTAATTTTAATTTGGTCCAACATCAATTAGGTATGATTTTGATTTTCTTTTGGCGCCAAACGTGATTGCATTTTTGGCGAGCACTGAATTCTCGGAAGCACTAAATTCTTGGGGGAAAGAAAGAAAATAAAAGAGTAGATACAGAGAGAGCGGAAGGGACAACAAAGATGAGAGGCGAGATCGGTGGTGCATTTCTTCAGCATGATTTATACAATCTTGTGCACAGGTTTATCTTTCTTCTGTTGATTATTACTAGCTTTTGATGAATTTCAGTTCTGAGTTTAATTTGGTCTGCCATAAATTAGGTTTGATTTTGGTTTTCTTGTTGGCGCCAAACATTCTTGCAACTTCGGCGCGCACTGAATTCTCGCGATTAGGATTTTGTTTTTGGGCTTTTCTCTTTAGGCTTTCGTTTATTGGGTTGACGGCTATACATATGGGGGTTTATAATACATGGGCCTGTTTCATTTGGGTCATTGTTTATTTTCTTTCTTAATTCTCTCTGTTCTTTCGGGTGGAGAAAATTCACTTTGTTCTTTTGTCTTGCTTGTCACTTTGTTTATCTTGAGAAAATTCACTTTATTCTCCTCAAGATTCAACATCTTGATTCTTGGCTGCCGTCATTTTACTGCATATTTCTTTCATATTTTTATTTTAACAAAGCCCTTCTCGGCCTTTCTTCTGCTTCAAGGGGAAGCTTGAATCCCTTGAAGAAAAGTGCATTTTGACTTATATTTTGTCTTCCACAACCCAGATGCTGTTTTCCTCAGTAAAAAAGCCTTGTCATCTACTTCTATTCTCCTTTTGCCTTGCCCAAAAAGTTAAGAGTGAATTAATGAAAGAGACTGTCGTTATTTTTCCTTTCTCTGATTGTAAGCCTGCCTGCAAATATTTTATAGATGGCCCCAATATAAATGAATTGTCTTCTCAGCAGATATATACATTTGATTAAATTCATTACAGCGGAAAACAGTCGGTATCAAAGTTCCACCTGTCTTTCATTTGACTACAAATATAATGGCAGATAATAGTATTGAAGATTAATTATTCTTTTACCATCTTTTGTGGGACTTTTGAAGTTTAAGTAAACAGAAACATGTGTACCTAATAATATTAAATATATTTTATGTTTTGATTATTAATCCAATTCTTGTAAGTATGCATACCCATGTAGTGTTATCATCTGATTTATTGTTTGACTTGGGATGACTCCACCTAAGAGTAAATAATGCTTCTAGTGCAATTCACTGTCTCTTTTCTTTTGGTTTGATGCTTATGATAAGCTTTTTTACTTTTGAAGGTCCGTGGGAATTTAGTAAAGACGCAAGAGTATAACTCTTTCACCCTAAGGGGCCAAACCTCACAAAACCAGCTGGGTTTGGCACATGCTAAGAGTGCTGAGGAAGCAAAGTAGAGGGTAAGGAGAGTGACTGTGAACCTAGTGCTGAAATGGTTTTATCTTTTATCTTCTTTACAATACATATATGTGTGTCTATGTTCTTATGTGTGTGTTACGTGAATATATATTTTTGTTTGGCTGTGTTGTGTACGTATTGAAATGTAAAAGGAGGTAGGTTGCTAGGTTTATAAGCTTTAAGTTGAATGTTGTTGTGTTGGGGAAACAGGCTGCGGTGCATTAGATATATGGGATAGGCTAATTAATATGACCTCCTTTGTTTTACATTTGATAGATTGACATGAAGTTTTTATTACATTTATTTATTTTTTTTACTCTGTCATTGCAGTTACTCGAAATAAATTATGATTATTATCTTTAAAAAATTAATTTAATATAGTATTAGTGTTTGTTTAATGATTAGGAAAAATAATGCTTTGGTAATGGTCTATTTAAAAACTATCTTCATATAGAATTTCTTTTGAACTAAAATAATGAATATATATATATATATATAAGATTTCCACAGACATTTTGTATTGTATAGGTCTGGGAGTAAGAAATTACAAGAATGTGAAACTAGACATATTTTTAAGCCACAAAACACGGTGCGATCAGATCAGACATAATATATTTTAATTGCACGTATGGTCATCATTAATCCCAAGTCCCTGATAAATTATTTTGGTAAGCGTAGAGGGCATGCCAGCCAAGAAGAGTGTTAATTAAGGAAGGAATGCAGAATGCGGCAGGCACGCTCGGGCTCTACGTCCTATCAGTGTAAAACTAAAAGGTAATGGTAAGGTTATGGTTTATGTTTATTTGTTAATGTCAGTGTTAATTAATATTAATATGCTGCCTGCATTTACTCCACTCTATTTCTGTATTTAATTTGTTGGCAGTTTACGTGAATGAATAGAAATTAATGAGGCTCTCCCTTCCCTCTACACTTGTATGTCGCCTACATCACTTCCTCTTTCAATTCATACTTCCTATGATTCATCCCTCACTTGCATTACTCCTCCTCCTCCTCCTCCTCACCTCTCCATCACTTCTGACTTATCACTCCTATCTTCTTCTTCTTCTTCCAGCAAAGCATTCAACCGCCGCACGTATAAATACTTTGAGATACTCTTGATTCAATCGTAATAGCTACTTCTCTCTGTCTACGTCTGCGTTTCGACAGAAAGTTACCGTATGTCTATATCTCCTCCACCGCCTCCTCCGTCGCTAACCGACATTGGAGGAGAAGCTACATTCATGGATAACAACAGAGACCAACACACTTCGCACTCTTCTTTCTCAATGGACAACCTCAAGCCAAGTATTCTCATCATCGTCATCATCCTCTCCATTACTTTTCTCGTCTCCGTCTCTCTCTGTCTCCTCCTCCGTCATCTCAACCGTCGTTGTCTCCGTCATCTCTCTCCTTCTTCCCTCACCTCCTCCCAACCTGTTGCAGTACCTTCCGCCGATTCCCGCCGTCACTCCAGCCGACGCGTGTCTCCTGAAACTCTTCCGTCCTCTCTCCTTGACTCTCTTCCTCTTTTTACCTTCTCCTCCGTTACCCGGCGGTCGACTAGCTCGTCTGATATCTCCGGCGATTGCGCTGTTTGTTTGTGCAAGTTTGAGCCGCACGATCAGCTCCGTCTCCTGCCTCTTTGTTGTCATGCTTTCCACGCTCATTGTATTGATACCTGGCTTCTTTCTAACCAGACTTGTCCTCTCTGTCGCTCTCCTCTGTACGCCTCTGATTCCGATCTCATGAAGGCCCTCCTTGCTTCCTCTTCATCTCATGCTGCTACGGTCGGCACCGGTGCTCCTCTTGGTAGTAGCGGTGACAACAGTTTTCGCCTCGAGATCGGCTCGGTCAGCCGCCGGCAAGCCGCGTCGGATTCCCGCGAGCAAAGGTCTTACTCCATCGGATCATTCGATTACGTAGTGGATGAAGAATCGGAGGTTGCTATGAGCAATGCACATCAAAGAAGCATTTCGGAAAAGGAAGATGTTGTCGGAGGAACGGAGGCGGCTCAGCCGCAATCAATTCTGGCGGCCGATGTCGGAACTAATTCAAGGAGTTGGCTCAAGGAATACGTTGACCGACTCTCTGCCAGTCTATCATCCCGAGCAGTCTCGTTCCGTAGTTCCGGAAGATTCTTCACCGGAAGCAGTCGCCGGAGTGAGATATTGTCCGCCGGAGAGTTGGAACTAGAGCCTAATCGCGTAGGGGAAGAGATAAGCGAGCTATTTCGGTGGTTCTCCGGGGTATAAATGGTAAATACTCAAACGCCAATTCTGATTCCTATTTGTAGAGATCCATATATGGATGCTATATGTAGATAATGATAAAGAAGGGAAACCGGGAAAGTCATTTATTATCTCTCTCCCTTCCCTCGACTAAAAATTGCCTCCACGTTACGCCAGTGGATCATAACGAAAAATTAGCCTTTTCAGGATCAGACGGTTAAGGAAATTTTTGCAGAAATCTGAGGTACTAAGAAAAAACTCGAATTAATGTGAGTTCTGTAATTGTTTCATTTTTATTTTTTAAAATTCCACGGGCTGAAGAAATTATAAATGGAGTCTCATTTCAAGTAAAAAAAAACTTGTTACCATTTCTTTAGAAGAAAAAGAGTTCATATCTCTTTCGCAATGATACATTTTGGTGTAGTGGTACTACCACCACCTTTCTTGCTTCCTCATAAATGTTCTCAACTGGCACATTAATTACCACAACTCAACTGCAGAGGATTTATTGTGTTTTTCTTTTTGGCCCCATCGATGACTGACGTTTTCTATGGACAAATTTACTTCCACCATTTAGTAGGTCTGAGAGGGAAATTAGCATTAGCAATGAGTCAAATATTTTCTACAACGACATAATTTTGGTTGCTTGAAAACAAAGTTTAAAAGAATAGAATTTTAGGAGTAAAATAGAGATTTACACCGGGGGCTAATTAATTTTGTAGTTGGTATTAATTAGGTGGTGTGTTTGGGCTTTTGTGTTGTGTGTAGAATGATTTGTGTTTTCTTTTTTTTCTCTCTCGTGGATTTTCTTCTTCTGCATTACTTCTTCTGTTGGTTCGGAATGATTGCCTTTTCCATACTTGTTTCTACATATTTTTCCATTTTATTTTATTTTTTTGTTTCTTATACATCTAACTAATGGCGTCAAACCAGATGGCAGAGTATGAAAACAATACGATGTCTTAACTTCTTACTGTGAAATGGGGAAAAGGGTTGTCTGTTCTGTGTAGATGAGAAAACGTTCCAACTGACCTAACAAAGAATTCTTTGTGGAAAATATGTATGTTCCTTTTTGGATTCACAATAGTACACCAATAAATACCAAGAAAGAGAAATATGTAACAGGTAGTTCCAATTGCAAGGGACTGAACTTCCATGGGTTAAAAGTTTAGTATTTTATTTAAAAATTATGAATTTAAATTTTATTAAAAATATATAATTCACCACTTTATAAATTTATTATATGCTACTGGTAGGTGATAACTTATAATATTTGATTTGCGAGATTAAAATTTTAATTTATTAATATGTTGGTGAGATTATAGTGATCAATTTATATTTAGTTTTAGTAAGCCATTATGTATTCGAGCAAAAAAAGTATTTATCATTTAAAATTTTAACCCGCAATACTGAAAACTTTAATGAATGATAGGTTAAACTTTTCAGGTTTACAAACTCAAAATTTTTCTTTCGGTAATAAACTTGACGTTCAAGTTTTGGATGGAAAAAATCATGCACGATGTTAGACGTATAGAAAATTAATTTAATAAAGAATAACTTCCAAAGTGATGCATAGAAGAATAAAATTGGAACACACCAAATAAATTCCCAAAAAATTCCAGTGTTTGTCCTCTTCACCCACTTTTTCCAAACCACTCGACATTTGAGTGATTAGTACCTCCACTGCCTTCCATTAAAGCGGTGAGTTTGATTTGTGAATTGTGTGCTAATGAGAGAGAAGCTAAAGAAAAACTACTCTCTCTTCGGCATGTAAGAAAGTCTCTAAGCAGTAATCATTGAGTCTTCAATAATTTCATTTCGCGAGTCAGCTCTGGTACAAATGTTTAAAGAGATACAAAACTGATAAGAGTAATAGCCAGAATATTGACATTTAGAGACAGAATTATCTTCCTTTGCCCACCGTTGCACGGAAAAGAGCTTCCGCTGAAACATCCTCTCTTCTGCTTGATTCCTTTGCCATGATCTTCAAGAACAAATGTAGAGTTTGTCGGACCATCACTAAATAGAACACACCAAAAGAAAGGGCCTTTATGGAACCCAACCAACCCTACTCCTACCTCGGTATGTGATTTATTTCTCAGAAGTGATAAAGCTTTCTGATCTTTAACAAGAACATGTGAAAAAGCTATTGATGGCTCCACATACTTGGATTGACAACCAACAATGTGGCCTGTTATTGTACCAATTGTAGGCAGCTCTACACCGCAATTGGGAGCAAAAACTTCAGTGAAATCATCTTCCGGGTGTCTACAGCTTGCAGCGTTGTTATTCTCGCTGCAATTCCCTTTGCATGGTTCAACGTATTGGAGAGCCATGCACCCAAGACCCGGACTGTCATTTAGGTTTGGAAGTTTATGAGCTGTTCTGTTCTTGTTAATGATGTCAACAAGATCATTTGCAGGGTTTCCTATAAGACAAGACAATGCGAACGTAAGTATGCTATATAAGCTTTCAAAATCTATACTGATTTTCATCCATAATCAGAACATTCATATTGTTTTGCAGATTCCTATTTCTGCTAGTTGTTATTTTTGCCCCCCTCATTTCTTTGCTTCCTAATCTTTCTTACCCGTGTCTTCTGCATAGGACAACTTCAGCGCATCCCATAGGTTCCCAAAATCATAGATTTTCTAGTCTAGCATAAAACGTCACTGGAAAAACAAATCGACAGAGACACTTAAAATATCAGCCTTCATCAACCAGTGACAGGAAGAAGGTTAGCGAATCCGTATAAGAAAGACATGCTGTTGATTGTCTATTAGATTGAATCCTCAGAGATTACATCGGAAACAGAGTTTCTGGAGCGGACAATAGAGTAAGATAGAACTCTCACGGGCAGTCATTCACAATAACAGTAATGATCTGTTAAAAATTGTATCACAGTTACTACATGTCTTGCTATTGGAAAGAGCATCTAACTATTGTTCGGATGATTTTTCATTTCATTTCTAACTAATTCTCAACTATAATTTTCCTACTAGTCTTTATTTATACAATTATAACACGATTTATTGTGCTTGAGTTTGCTTTACCATCATTTTAAATTCTGAGAGTGAAAATTTAATTCCCACTTCTCACTACAGAAAGCTTCAAGACTAGGTTGAAATCCTTAATCTAAGGATGTATTTTCGAGTTAATGTAATAATTTTTTTTTTCTTCTTCCAAATGTAGCTTATTATACCAAAGAATTTCTTACATAGTCTTACGAAAAAGAAAATACAAAAATAGAAATTAACTAAGCATTGAAGAGGAAATGAGTCAAACATCATCCACCTATCCAGGTAAAGAAAGCAAGAAGCTAGTGATGGTAAGTACACTGGTTTTACTCTTAGTTCGGTAAGAGCTGAGGCAGAAGGGAGCACTAGAGATTTCTAGGTCTTGAAGGGTAGGTAACGAGTCAGAGTACCATGAGTATATTTAGGAACCAGGTTATTAAATGAACAAAGGACAAAAAAACACTAGTCTACAAAACTATTCGTACTTCTATTTGTATAAACTTTAGAAGAAATGCCGATTGAGAAGATAGAGACTGCAAATCGAACATGAAATTTTGATAAGAGCAGAGGCATCTTACCGTGATTGTGGCAGCAAACAAGAGGAGCGATCAGAAGATTAGATAGTAAAATTATCCAGCCGAAGAAGCACGAGTTCTCCAGCATTATCACTGAAAACTGTGGAAGCCTCTTTAAATGCGGTCTCGAAGCGGGTTTGATTTTCCTCAAAAAAGAGTACGAGAAAGGGAAAGGAAAGGAAAGCCCTAGGTTGAGAAAAGGGTGGCTCACTTTAATTCTAACACTAGAAGCTGTTTGGTTAGCGAGAAGTGAAATATTTTCCGGGAAAAAGAAGAGGAAAAAAAAAAAAAAAAAAAAAAGGGTAGCAGTAGCAGAGACCGAGGGGAAAATTAGTGGTCCCATGTAGCCGTTGTGCGGGAATGTTTATTCGTTTTTTTGAAATTAAAAAATGGATCGGAGGCTGCAGATTTTCAAACAAGAGCTGTCGTGGGACCCACCGCCGAGGGGGAAAAAATAACAAAATTACAAGAATCAACTGTTCAGCCGCGAAACTGTCTTGATATTTTCGGGGCTGTTCGGCTCCACGTTTTGCTTTTCAGGATGAGATTACTTTTTATAAAAAAAAAAAAAAAATTACAACTATTTTGATTTTCTAAAACAAATTTTTACAACTATTTTGGCTAAAATTATTTATATAAAAAATTTATATCATTATGTTAAATTTTATAAGCTAAAAAAATAATTTATCGATTAACATTGAATTTCATTATAGAAGTACATGATTCGAATAAAAAAAAAATTATTATTAAGAAGTAAATAAAAGAATGTCGGGCTCACACATGAACACCCAACCTATACATGGGATTTCCGCCTTCACTTGGTCGTACCAAAAAAAGTACGGGAGAAATGAAAAAATGTAGGATCATTTATCTGTTCGACTAATTGTCAAAGTTCTCGTTAAAATTAGTATTTTATAAAGAGTCGATAAAAAATTCTATTAATAACTAATCGTTTTAATTATTTGAAATAATTATACGATTAGTGCTAACTTTGAAAGCTGAGGTATCAGTACTGATCACTGATTCTTAATAAAATTTTTAAAGAAGATTATAAGATTTTTAAATTTTCGTTCTAATTTATAAATTTTAAAACAATAAAATTATTATTAATATTATATCATTTTTTAATGAACTAAATATTGCATTATGCTTTATTGAAAATTTATGTGTCATAATTTCACTAATTGTTATATAATTATATTAAATAGCGATCAAAATTTATAATAAAATTAAAATTATATAATCAAAATAGTGATATATAACTATTTTTTCAAATGTTATATAATTATATTAAATGTCTAACTAAAATTTAATCGTAAGTTGGTAGCATGTGGTAAATAATTGATTATCACGTCAATCTAACGTATTTGCTAAAATATAAATTTGGCGTCTCCTCGATTCGAACCCGGGACCTTCAGTATGACAAGCGTCTCGAGCTTGAAGACAAACGGACTTGATAACACGTCATAGGCCTGGGCTTAAGAGTGCTGAATCACGCGGCCCAGCAGGTTGCAAGAACAGAGGAAAGCAAAGCAAAGGAGCTGGAAGTGGAACCATCTAGAAGTTCGGCAAAGGGGGGTTTAAGCTTTGCGTTTTCACAAGCTTCCTCTTCCCTTATCTTCCAAACCATCACTTGACGACTCGCTGAAATCCTTTGTTTTCCTTCTCCTTCTCTGTCGTCGCTTCTTCCATGGCGTCTATGTTTGTTGCACTGCCCAAATCATTTCCTCTACACACAACCAGCTCTCCTCATCGCTCTACACATATGCGTTTAGGTTCGTCAACCATTATTTTTTTGTTTCCCTTGTTAATTCCTCCTTTATTTCCATTTATTAATTACTCCGTTCAATGAGTATCGGATTTGTGCAGGGTCCGTAAGGAGTTCTTTGAGAATCAATGCTATTGCGAAGAAATGGGAACCTACTAAGGTAATTTCATTTAGTTTCTTTCTATGCTTTATGTAGATTTTTACACTAAGTTTTCAGTTTTGTAGCAGAGAGACTTTTCTTTATTTATAGAGGTTGGAAGTAATCATTTCGGAGTTGCAGGTTGTTCCGCAGGCAGATAGAGTGCTTATCCGTCTCGAGGAGCTACCCGAGGTTTGTTCGACTCCTTTTTTTTGCTTATTTTTACTCAAATTGCTCAATGCATTCATTCTATTAGGGCTGTCTTAACCTTCAGGCCATGCTTGGTGCAAAACCAAAAACTTGGATGTAATTAAAAACTGAGCCTACTTAATTTCGTGTAGAATCAAAATAATGTATTACACATTCTATCAATTTTAATACTTGGAATCTGTTGTTTTTAGTTCTATTTAGAATTTCATATTTCGTGATAAACTTTGCATTTCTTTTAGTTAAAATAAGTATAGACTTGTAAATGCATTCCACTCAAATTGTGAATTTGAATTTGTTCTAAGCATTGGCATAATGTTTTTTTCTTATTCGATGTATTACAAATTCTATCAATTTTAGTACTTGGAATCTGTTGTTTTTAGTTCTACTTAGAATTTCATATTTCGTGATAAACTTCGCATTTCTTTTAGTTAAAATAAGTATAGACTTGTAAATGCATTCCACTCAAATTGTGAATTTGAATTTGTTCTAAGCATTGGTATAATGTTTTTTTTCTCAATCGATGTATTCATCGCCGAGTGTAACTATTTTTTTCACTGTTAATTGACTTGGGAATATACAACTTTAATGCTGGGTATCCCTTTTTGAAATAATTGGATTGTTTTTCGGCTACTAGCTCCCTTATCTTCTTTGTTTAATCTGTGTACTTTGTTTTAATATATGCCTCTACATTAAGATTATCCTGTTGTAAATCGTCATGCTAATGGATTAACTTCATCACACCCCAGAAATCAGCCGGTGGGGTTTTGTTGCCCAAGTCAGCCGTTAAATTCGAGAGGTATCTAATGGGGGAGGTGAGACAAATACCATTCATCTAACTCTGTAAGATTGTTACCAGCAATTATTTTGAGTTGCATCATTCTTGTTTCAGATTCTCTCTGTTGGTGCTGAAGTTGGGGAAGTGGATCCTGGAAAGAAGGTATTGTCGGTAGTTTGAATTTTGTTGATATAAGGTATTGCAAAATAATTTTGCATGTTTTATTTTATTATATAACCCAACTAGATTCATATAGGCATTTGGAGAAAGAGAACCTGGCTTCTCTTGAACAAGATTGGTGCTAATTGCTGCTTCCTTCCCATGTACCAGAATAATGATGATAATAATAGGGGCATTACAAATTTACTGATATAGTCTTTACTGGTTCCGTGGCTTGAATTAATTGTTTGACTGCAACAGCTATCCTTGATGTAGAGGATTTAGGAAGCCTCAAAGATTTTTTGATTTCCAATTTTGTGTAAAGATCTTGTACTTGGGCGGCAACGCCTTGGTGCTTTTTAATGTTACAGCTTTTTTTTTTTAACTTCAAAGACATAAAAGTAATAGAAGTTTAATTGCTCTGAGACCACCTAAAAGTTCTCATTCTCTCTCTTTTTGCAGGTTCTTTTCTCAGATATAAATGCTTATGAGGTTAGTATAGTATCTTCCTGGTGAATTATCATAATAGACTTAGATCTTTGTTTTGTTTTTTCTTTTTCCATTTTTTGCTCCTTTGACCTAAAAGTCTGCCCAAATCTTATTTACCATAGGCCATAACTTTCTCCAAAAGATCAAGTTCTAAAGTTGATTAAAGAGCCTGGGAAATTCCAAGCTTAGGAGAATGCATTAATTTGTATCCTGAAGGGACTTATTTTTTCTTGATCATTCATTCATTGGAATTACCCATCAAGCACTGTTAGCTTTAGTTTGGTCTCAGCCTTTTGGATTGCAGTTTGTATCTAGAACCTGCCTTTATGGGATACGTGTTGCAGCACCTTAAATTTGATAATGAAGTTCATGAACCATAGAAGTTAGTGCTCTTCTGCATTGGACCTGAAATGAGACTGGTGAATTATTAGGTGAAGGTTGCCAGTCAGTAGAGCTTCCATCATCTTTGCCGAATCTAACTCAGAACTCTTCATTATAATGTTTGTTATTGTATCTTTATTTTGGGGAAAAATGTTTAAGTCAAGGCAAAATCAAGGCTAGATTAGAGGAAAATTAAGAGAAATGCGTACTCCAGAGAGAGGATTTAGAGGAGAATAGATGGTATAAAAATGTAAAAGATGGGTCTTTCAGAAAAAAATGTAAAAGATGGATGGTGGAAATACTTTTTGAAAATATGATATTCTAAATGATTCTTGTAAATTTTTTGACAGGTTGACTTGGGAACAGAGGCCAGGCACTGCTTCTGTAAATCAAGTGACTTGCTCGCTGTGGTTGAGTGAAGGTTAGATGATTTTGCTATGTCGCACCAACTCCTCTGGCAGCTATAGGGTCGATCTCTGTTTTGTAGATTAGTCTGGTAAGAGTTGTTAGCAGAATTCCTTTTAATCTGTAATAGCACAAGGCATTTTTATATTTTACAGGATAACATTGGATGCACTAATATTCTTGACTTTGGGCTTGAATGATTGTATTTAAAGTGGTCTTGGGTAATGGTCGTGGTCGAGTTGGTAGCAACAGGAAACTGGGAGCTTCTCTTGTCATCTTATTATAACACCAGACAGGATAAAACCAGAGTGAGAGGTTATTCTGATCTTTGTTTAACTGACCCTTCTCTCTCTCTCTCTCTCTCTCAGTTTTCTTTTGCACATTTGTGTCTTCAGAAGTTGAAATCTACTTATGTTTCTCATCTTTTAAGAAACATGAAATGAAGTACTGAAAGTAGAATCTGAGATATATTATTTATGGTTTTCAGAGAGGAGATAATGATATAGAACATTGAAGTGACACGAGATTATCTTACAATATTTTATTTGTTTACATTAACAAGTGAGATTACAAGGTAAAATGTTCTAATGAACCCAAGATTCGAAGGAACCCGAACTATGGAATTAGTCATGGCTTACGTATCTACAATACAACAAATATTGGGAAATATGAGACCAAATCAAATTAGATTAACCTAACTTTATGAGCAGTAGAGAAATGCTTTGATGCAGCAATCATGGTGGTCTCTGGTCTTGAGAGTGGTCTGGCCTTCCCACTCTTTTCCTTCTCGGCTTCAACGCCAAACCAGGAAATTAATCGTCCTAACAAGTCCAACAATCTGCACTTTTTCCCCCTCTTACCCATCTTACTTTTCTGCTTGTTATCCCTCACAAGATGAGATGCTACCTATACTTGTATATATATATATATATATATATATATATAGATATAGATATGTTCATATATATCGTACCCACTTCCTTGGAAATCAAATTGGCCAATCAAGCACTTCAAGATTTTCTTGTTTGCTGATATGGGTTGGGTTAAACATACAGCCCTTATATATAAGCACATATTGCTTGATGAACAAGATAATTTCAGTGTTCCCCAAGAAAGACTACTACTGGTAAAACATTCGGGCACCCCATTTCTTACCCTTTTTGATATTTTTCTTTTCCTAGAAACTGTCTTCGGCTGTAATCAGACTAGTCAATGATTAACCAAAAAAAATTCTCTATAATAAAAACTCCACTGTAGTACCAACAATCCTATCTGGAAAGATACCGTATAACGGAGCTTGTTGTACTGTTTTGCGCTGTATTCGGAGATGTCCTAGTATTCATCCTTCTAAAAGACAAGAGCATTGAAGAAAAACCACACGGCAGAATACAAGAAAAAAACATTTGAGTTACAGAATTAGAATTCAAATAGGCGCAGCTCTATCATGCCCTCCTTTCTTCTGGGAGAATACCAAGCAACAACTTTGCCAGATCGCAAAAGCCTCATCGAGTAACTCAAGCTGTACATGAGATCCTCCATATGTGGACTGCGATTTCCCAATGATGAATCCAGCAGAAACCGGGAGTCCACTCGAAAGATTATTGGCCCGGCAACCTGCGGAAAGGAAGTGTATCAACATTAAATACCATTCAGAGGTTTCTTTCTGTTAAAGATGGATACTTTCTTAAGCCTGCTTATTCTCATGGAATAATTTAATACTTGGTTCGTTATGATTTTCATCTCGTGCAAATTTTCTTACTTCATTTTGACTTCAAGAAATTGTTCATTTGCTTACTGAGACAATTACTGATCCATTGATCTTACCAACCCCCAGAATATAGTGTATTAGTAATCTCCACAGAATATCCATCAATAAATAATCTCAGCCCTTTTAGATGAATGTGTAATTAACACCACTTTTACTTTTCAGACAGAATGAAAATCGCCTTTTTCAGACAGAATGAAATTACCTGCTGCTGAAAGATCAAATTAAGTCTCGGGGAAGACAATGAGTTATCTTCTTTACCAACAGACTTCCTGAATGTATTAAAAATCCTTTTGGTCAAAGCTGAAGCTGAGCAAATATCCAGACGAGCATCTACTCTGGTCAGGTCACCATATAGCTTCCTAAACTTCCCGTGTTGAAAAGTATAGCAAAGAGAACCAAATAAATCAGCACTAAACGGACTTCTCTTCTTGCAAGTCATGGAAATATTGCCATCTCCTTGAGACCCCTCACACACACCCCCGCCGCCAAACCAGGCTGCACAGCTGCCACCTGACATTACACAGTCACATGGATCAAAACCGAGTAAAAAATGAAAGAAATGTGGACCTAACGAAATAATGAAAGCTGAAATATCATAAACTGAAATATTATGATAAAAACATCAGGTGCTATGATATTGCCAAACCATATGGTAAAATCTGATTAAACATTCCCAAGGAAAGAGCAATTCAAATGTTTTACGATTGTAATTCAAGCTTTCGCCTGAATCATGCAGTAACAATGTTTCATGAGGGGTTAATTTAAAGGTAACAAAGAAAATGCACCACCATTTTACTACTTGTAATGACACCGATGAGAACAAGATAAATCTGGTTTAAGAGTATCGTAATAAACTTGTTGGATCTTGGAACGCGCAGCTCTGATACTTCCTGAGCGTCAGAAATCTATATGCCAAACTTGTTATTCAGCAGTTGCTACGATGCCGATCAATGGTTTTGTAATTCCTGATGGTCCGACACTTTTTTCAACAATGAACCGAGTAGAATACATTGAGGCAGGTTATAAGAACATGTTTACAGATATCCATTTTGCTGTCAGATTCAGCAAATTAATCAACTCTGGAGATGCTGTTGAAGAAAAAACCATCACATCTATAAATAAATAAAAACACTGAATATTTACTTAACGGTACAGCACGTCTTAGGCATGAGATACATGCAGTAGGTGCTATGCAATAAAACATGCCTGACAGTATTGATGGTTTGGGAGCATGGAGGCAATATGATTCACATGTAACATCATAAAATTATTTATGATTTTCTTTTTTCTGTTCGACATTAAAAAAAGAAAAAGTTTTACAAATTTAAGGAGGAAAAATCACCATGAATATTGTAGACCTTCTAAAGATTAACCGTGAACACATATAACTGTTAAATTTAGAAGAAATCACCTATAACTCCTGATATTGCTGCATGAGGTTCCCTGAGACGTGCATCATATGATGGGCGCCAAAAGATGCCCTTGTCTGTCTTTACCACAACATCCTCAGCAGTCTCTCTTTGCCTCCAAAAGTCCCTGCTCTTCTCATATGAAAAGGCAGCCTTTGTGCATAATCCAGGCATTAAAGAAGAAGGTACATCACCATCCGCAGCATCAAAAGCCTGGGGACAGCCACTGTTTTTGTGCATACCGAAGCGATATCGTAACCCAGATTCTGAAGCAAGGGAGGACATATCTAAAGATATTGATTCTGGAACATCCCAGTATTTTCCTTTATGATCAATGAACAGCTCAGGCCATGCAGCCTCCAGGGTGATATCATGATTAGGAAGCTGCAGATTCACCCATACAGTTGAAGAAAATAGAGAAAAAGACTGACATTTACCAGAAATAAAGAGAAAATTGTGAGCACAGAAAAATAAATGTTATCCAATTTCCATGAGTATTCCACATATCAAGTATCAGAATGTGAAAACAGGAATGGATTATCACAGAAGCCAGTCCAACATGTTAGGCTCATATGCAGTCTTGTGGTTCTGTGTTCATACTTCGTTTAGATTGATTCATTTGAACAGCTACCATATACTATAGACTAATAAGAGAATACCTGTCTTATCAAAGAAAGCTAACCAACAACTCGAAGGGAAAATTGTGACATACATGTAGTTGCCAATAACAATATGAAAACTGGGTCATTAGCTATGTAGACATATATGCAAGTGAAGAAAATTGGAAATCCATAAAAGATGTCTCAAACAATAAAGCGAATTATTTGAAGACTGGTGGTAATTAAATGCATACCTTCTGAAAGAACATCAACTTTTTACGATTCCCTTCTTTCTCACCACGACGTTCTGTGCTCAAGATTAAGGATGACGAGGGAGTGAGAGAGAATTGTGTCCACAGACCAATAGAGTAAAGTGACTTGTCAAGAAAATGCTTTGCAGCATCTCTGAATACAGGAAGCTCCCACTCATCTGCATTGGAAAGTTCCGATTTGATAGCAGAAATTAGCTTCTTAGGACGGAACTGCCCAACTATTCCTAGCCACCTGCAGGCACAATAATATCAGACCTATCCATATGTCAAGCCCGGGCAAAATACAGCTATGAGGGAAGAGGTCACTTGAGTGGACACACTTCACAAGTTCATATACTCAGTTTTGTGCTTTTAACTGATTTTTGTATATCGTTTGGCAAAAACTTGAGAAACATAGACCCAATTCGAGCTTCAAAACTAAAATTGGTTCAAAAGGGTGGGTTGATATCACCTCACAGAATGATTCAATAAAATTTAAGCTTTGAACTACCACACACACAACAGACATATATTCAGCTTTAGAGCAATGCCATTATCAACATAAGCAAATTTAGAGTAGTACTTCATAACTTAATTTTTCCCAACACACAAAAATGCAATTACAAGTAAAACCCATGTAAAGAAAAGACCTATAGCCAGAAAATATCTCAACTTCAAAGAACAGATAAAATGTCGTAATCCCATCACTTCTTCTTCCCTTAGGGAAATTTTTTTCTCAGCAATCAAACACAACAGAACTGAATTACCAAAAAAAAGAAGATAAAAAGTGGAACACACCAGAGAAGAACTTACCAATTAGAAGTAGCTGGTTTGAGCAAGAGAGACTGGAGAGAAAAAGAGCCCAATTCCTTATGCAAAGCAGGGGAGAAAGAAGGGATTATACCCAAAGGAAACCCATTTCTCAAAAGAGAGAGTTGCTGGATCCGAAGAGCTCGGCTGGCTCGAGCCCCGTCCAACGGAAATGGGTCTCCCGGACAGGACCGCGCCGTCCCTTCCAGAGTCTGTGTGGTGGATATGTTCTGGTCCCAGAATGCTGAATCAATGGCCGTCCTTAGATTCGCCATGTCCTCTCTGAAGCTGAGGATGTGCGCTTGGTTGTCTGCAGCTGGTTCTTCCTTATCAAAGTCGCATTTTTTTTGAAAAATGATTTGTGAGAGGGTTTTTGCTGGTTATGTTTTCAAGGCGGCCTCCCCAAGCGGTTTGCTTTTATGAAAATTTTTATTCTCTTCTTTTTATTACTTATTTTTTTTTTTCCCAATCATAATTTGATTTATTTTTAATAGTAATTTGATTTTTTACACTTATATTTAGGATTTTAAAATTCAAAATTAATTATTGGGTTATAAAATGTATTTAATTAATTTGATATTTGTGCTTAAGTTACAAAATATTTCATTTTTCATATAATATCTATTATTATCTATTAACCCTTTTTATAAGTTATGTTATATTTGGAATAAATTTAAAATGGTAATTTATATTTAAATTATATTTGATACTTTAAGTAAAGAAAAATAGTCTTGGATAAAGTACGATGAATTATTCATAAGTTAAATATTTACTTTATTTTGAAATAATTGGTAAAAAATAATTAATATAATAAAAAAAATTATAATATTCGTCTTTTATTAACCCTTAAAACGTTCTCAAAGGAGTACCAATTGAAAGATACCAAATTGGTTACTATTTTTTTTATTTAATAACAGTTAGTAATGATTATGATAACAGTAGTGATAATAATAGTAATAATAGTGACAATAATAATAATTGTTCGATGATAGTCATAATAATTGATAATATATTATTATTTTTTATTTTTAAAAAATTAATTTGTATGGTTATATTTATCAATTTTTTTAAAAAATAATTTTTTACGTTCATATTTTTTTAAAAAATTTAATTTAATTTTTTTTTAGATTAAAATATGAAAGTATCTCTTATTATCGATTTATATTACTTAGTCAATAATATATGGTAGCTTGAATAGAAGAAGTAAGATATGTGAATGCACAAAGTACTTTGATATTTGACATCTTTGAAACTTGTTTTCCATTTTGCCCTTTCTACGTGAGACCCTTTAATGTGATTTTTTGAATGTTCATTTAGTTATATAAAAATTATTCAAAAGTTGGAACTTGCATTTTAGTATTTATAAATTACATAACATTTAAAAGGGTGGATCTATTTTAGGAAAATAAGTACTAAAAAATTTGAAGGCTAATTTATTTTGATTTTTCAAAACAGAAAACAACTTCTAAAAAAGCAATTTCTAAATGATATTTATGAATAGTATTGTCGGATATAGGAACATCTTTTGAAATCTTGAAAGCTTATAAAAACAGATTGAAAATCTCACTATTTATAATGTCTTTAATTGAAAATCTCGACTGTACGATCGCATTTAAAGAGATAACGAATCTGAACTGTTCATCGTGTTTAATCGTGACCGTCTGATCGCGCATGAGGAGAGAAAGAATCCAGATCGTCTACGAGTACGAGAACGCATCCGGACCGTCCGATCGCAGGCACGTGGATTGCCAGTATGACCTCCCGCGTAGCACCGAGTCAGCGTGTCTTATCACATGGCGCACTCCGATTTGTCGGGGTTACTGACTGGATAGTTCTACGTGATATATTTTTCTTTAATTATGTTTTGACCCGTAGTTTCTGATTTTTCTTTCAAAAATACATTCCGAACCAAATTTTTACTAATTTTTTATAAAATTATTTTCAATTTCATCATCCACTTATTTTTTTTCTAATCTTACATTAAATAAAAATTTATAAATTTATAAATTATATTTATATATATTTTTTAATTTTAAAATTAATTTTGAATCAAATTTCGAGTTCGGGTATTACAATAATGTCTTTAATTAGATTAAAAATAATTAACATACACTTTACATAGAATTTTAATGATCGGATAGGTAGTAATTGAGTTCCTTTGCTAATTATTTAGGTTTTTTTTTTTCAAAAAAATAAATTTATTTAATTTTTCCAAAAATTTAAGACAAATGGTTACTTATATCTAAAATCATTGCCACAACAATTTTTCTAAATTTTCAAATAAATTATTTTATAAATATAAAAAATTCGTTCAAACATAATCTAATTTAATCACTGTAACACAACGAAATAAATTTTTTAAAATTAATGAATTTAAATATTATTAATCAGTTATTATCGTTTCATAATACAATATATATATATATATATATATATAAAGGGTATACTTAGAAATTATTCAAATTGCTTTAAAAGGGATATAAACTTTTAGTCAATTTGTTGTTGTTTGGGGAATTTACTTTTAAGGTACGATTTGGAATTTTACAAAAAATGAAATTTGACTTTGAAATTCATGAATTAGTGGTTTAATTTAAACTTAGCTTCATGGCAAGCCTAGACTTTTACTCCTTAGAAAATTTCTTCACTAACTTTGCTTAAA